TTTTTTTTTGGCAGAACCGGGGATTGAACTCAGACCCTTGCACTTACCAGGGAAGCGCTTATTCTACTGAGCCATCTCCCTGGCCCCGAAGCCATATTCTAAAGAGCAAAGAGTAGTGATAATTTAGTCCTGTCCCTAAGTTTTGTAAATCAATAGCACTTCTAAGAATACAAAGAGGTCAACTCTTAGTCATAATCCTAACAATGATTATTCATATTTGCATGGTGTCTTTAGAGCTTACCAAGGACTTTGTAGAACCAACTCATCTGAAGCTACTCATGGAAGAACCAGGGTGCACAAAAGCACAAATTATATTTCATGCTTTGCATATGCACCACTTTCTTGGCTGGTAGTTAAACTTAGCTCTAAGCCTAGGATGAATGTGGGGTGCCAGCTTATTCTGATGGATTCAGGCATATTTCAGAGCATCTTCTTATGAAATAAAGGGGTCTAAACCTAGAGTCTCTTGATTCACGCATGCCAGGTGGTTGACATGATTGTGAAAAGCTTAAACTTAAAGCGCTTTATCATAGGCCATCTTCCACTGAGCAGCCCGGCTTCTGAAGGGAAGACAGCAGAGCTCCCTAGCAAGGACAGGGACTCTCCGCTCAGGGCTAATACAGCAGCCGGGACACACTCCCTGCGCCTGGACAGAGGGCTAGGAGCATGAGAAGCCCACACTCGCGAGACCTCAGTCCTGAAGTGTGCGTTGATCCTGATGAGTAATATCTTTGCATCAGAGCCAAATACAAGTAAGAATAAAAGCCTCCTGGGGGAGAAGAGGGAGGCTGAGGGCAGGGACATCTTTCCTGGGTGTGCCATCTGCCTGGCTTTACACCATGCAGCCCTGCCAGCTGCTCCTGACAGCCGCAGTGTTGCGCATGTGGCCGGCTCAGCTTTGCAGTCTACGTGGGGAGGAGGTACCGAGGCCAAGGTACCTGCTTCTCCTGCTGCGTCCTCAGCCTCGCATTCTCAGCCTGAGCACTGGCCAGGGCCTGCCTGAGAGCCAGTAGCTGCTGACGAAACAGATCGGCTTCTTGTTCAGCCATTAGCTTGATGTTCAAACATTCTTTTTTACTTTGAATAGATTCCTGTCAATAGTAAGGTAGGTGATAAGTTTCCTTTCCATGTTTTTAGTTTCACAATCAGTGTCTGGAAGCACTTTATCCTCTGCTCTCCTTTAAAGCTCCAGGTAGAGGGCCGGGGAGATGGCTCAGTGGAATAAGTGCTTCCCTGGCAAGCGCAAGGGCCTGAGTTCAATCCCTGGTCCTTGTTCCACCAAAAATAAATAAATAAAAATAATAATAATAAAATAAAATTCCAGATAGAGGGCTGAGAAGATAGCGGCCTGGCAAGCACAAGGACCCAGGTTCAAACCGTGGTACCACATGCTGTGCTGGCCTCACACCCCAGTCACCAGTACCGGATGTGGTGGCACATACCTCTAATCCTAGCACTGGGGAGGCTGAGACAGGAGGATCACTACGTGTCTGAGCTGTGTAACAAGATCTATACAAAGTAAACAAATTAATACAAATAAAAGATTTTAAAAAATAAAACTGCAGGGGCCGGGGAGATGGCTCAGTGGAATAAGCCTGAGTTCAATCCCCAGTTCTGCCAAAAAAAGTAATTAATTAATTAATTAAAAAACAAACAGGAACTGGGGAGATGGCTCAGTAGAATAAGCACTTCCCTGGCAAGCACAAGGGTCTGAGTTCAATCCCCGGTTAAATAAATAAATAAATAAATATTAAAAAAATTAAAAAACAAAAACCAAAGAAACAAACAAAAAACTCCAGGTAGAACAGATGTCTCAAGGATCACTGCTTTTGTGACCCTAATGAACAATGGCACCAATTCAGAGTAAAGACTGTCAGAAACAGTAATTGGAAATTCCCATTCCTTTGTCTGTATGAGCTTTGGTTTCCACTTGAAGCAGAGCCTCCACTTAGTATTTCATCACTTCATGTCCTTCAGATTATCGCCCATGAAACCCAAAGTCAGGTGGCATGTGTATGAAGTACCTTGAGTCCTGGATAAAATCTCTCTTCCATCTTTTTCTTTCCCTTGTGCTCCCTTCTCTGCTCTGTGCTTCCTTGCAGCTGCTTCTGATTCTGTCCTATTTCTCCCTAGACTTTCTTCCCAGGAACAGTCGCCAGCTGTCAGAGTCCTAGCCATGGCCACAGTCTGGAGGAGCCGGGAGCATCCCTGGGCCCTGGGCTGCCCACTCGGGTGCACTCACCTTCTCTGCTCTGCTCAGCTGGCCCCGGAAGTGAGCCTGCTGCGCGGCCAGCCTCCAGCGGCCCAGGTTCCTGGCTGTGCACAGCAGGGTGGTCAGGTGGTCATTGTCCTGCTCCAGGGCCTGCAGCTGCTCCTGCCAACAAAGCTCACTTTCAGAGAAGACTCCGTCCAGCACTCAGCCCTGAGGACAGGGATGAATCTTAACAGCGGGCACTGGCCTTGCAGAGAGGACAGATGGCAGTGAGTCCCAGGCATCTATATTTCTTTACTATCAATTTAGTTATTTAGTTATTTTGCAGTCTAGGGTTTGACTGCAGGGCCTTGTGCACACTGAGCAAGTGCTACATCCCCAGCCTCTGTTTATTTGTCTTTTTGAGACAGTCTCACTATGCAGTTCATGCTGGCCTTGAGCTCACTTTGTAGCCCAGGCTGGTCTTGAACTCACAGCAATCCTCTTGCCTTGGCCTCCTGAGTGCTGGGATTACAGGTGTGCACCACCACACCCAGTTTATTTTTACTTTTTTATTTTTTGGCAGAACCAGGGATTGAACCCAGGCCTTTGCACTTGCCAGGGAAGCGCTTATTCTACTGAGCCATCTCCCCGGCCCCAAGTTTGCTTTTTTTTTTTTGAGACAAGGTTCTATCTGTAGTCCAAGCTGATCTTGGTTTTGTGTTCCTCCTGCCTCAGCCTCCGAAGTATCTGGGATTATTGGCATGTGCCACTATTCCCAGTGCAGTGTGTTCTCAGGGAAACCAGATAGGTCTGTTAACAGTGAACAGTGGGGAAATGTGGAATAAAAGCACGTACTTTGACTGGGTTTTCTTTTAGTCCCTTGTCAGGTCTGGCTGACCCCCATCTTTTCTTTAGCTCTTTCATGCTGGCCATCCCTTCTGTTCTGACTTCGCCAATGAGCTCGCGCACATTCTGGACCAAGTGAAGCTGATTCTCATCCAGCTTGTCCTGAAAAATTACAGGCTCGGGTTAAGACGGCAGGAAGGACAGTGGAGCAAGAGCCATTTTGCCTTCTAAACCTAAGTTCTGGCAGTGATTTCACATAGAAAATCCCCTTGCGATTTCCCCAGCACCATCCCTTGGCCTCTGAGTTCCCTTGGGCACCTTGCTGGTCACTTCCAAGGTGACTGGAGCTGGGAACCCAGTGCAGAGAATGGTGAGAAGGCACAGATGAAAATCCTGCTGACTGGATCGCCCGAGGGAGGTGGGCGAAAGGCTGAGCTGAGCAGGTTTACTGCCAGGTTGACTCAGAGGAGAATCTGACCACAGATTCCATAGCCGAGCTACTACGGGGTGCTCCATCAAGCACGGAAAAGGAGAAGGAGAGATAGGTGGCCTGCCTTCCATCACAAGCTCCAGCAGAAGCCTCTCAAGGAATCATTCTGTCCAGAGAACTACAGCCTCTGGCTTCTGGTGCGCTAGCTCGATGATGAGGCCAGGAAAAAATGGAGGTGGCACCATCTTTTTGGGGTTCCCTACTCTGGCACAGAAGGGGTTCCCTACTTTGGGAGGCTTGAGAGAACTACTTTAGCCTGGGAGAAGTAGGGTCCACTTTTAAGAACTTATTATTATCTAGAAATCTGGGGCTCAAGTAGAATAAGTGCTTGCCTGACAAGTGCAAGGTCCTGAGTTCAATCCCGGGTACCGCAAAAAAAAAAATCTGTCATAAGCTAAAAGAAATTTGAGAAAACTCCCAACAATCTCACATCTGAAAGACTGCTTAGCAAATTCCTGTCTTCACTGTGTGTTCATCCCTCTCTGGCAGTGCTAGGCCCAGTGCATTTTGGTTTTGATCTTTTAAGTGCTTGTAGTTTACCAATAAGAGGAAATCTCTAATCCTGTCTGGAATAGTGGGCCAAGGCAAAGTATTCCTGGGATTGTGTGTTAACAATCCTAGAGACCTGTCTGGGACCCCAAAGAGAGAGGAGGGAAACAGAGGGCCCAAAAGGGGTTGGTTTGAAGGGCAGGGAAGGTGTTGGGTTGGAGAAAGTGATGATTTGGGGCTGTGTACTTGAACTTATAGGCAAGTTTATTCTTGAAGGCAGCTGGCTCAAGCTCCCAGGCATGGGCATCTATCTTACAGCTGCTAGGAGATGGGAAGAGAAGGCCTGGCTTCCACAGTGCTGTGGACACAAGGGTACACACACGCCTCTCCTGGGATCGCTCTTTGGTGACGGATCCCCTCCTGTCGTAGCCAAGTACTGTCTTTTCCTCAATAAAATTTCCTATTCTTAATCTCCATGGTTCCTCAGAATCCATTCTTTGATTTTGGAGGAACAGGAACTCAGCGCATCGGATGTTTAGCAGGTGGTGAGCTGCACTTCCCCTGTATCATTTGGAGGCCCGGCACCATTCCTTAACAATAGGCCAGGGGCTGTGCAGAAAGGCTGGTGGGCACACGGAGGTTGGGAAAGTCTCTGAAGGCTGATCCCTGTTCTCAAGCTTATTAGCAAGTTCCCAGGAGGTGGCAGCTGCTCTCCCCACTGTGCTTGCCCAGTGGGGTAGTCCTTCTCAGCAGGAAGAATGGTGGTGATGGGGATTGGATTTGGAGCAGAAAGTGGCCCTGCTTGTAACACACCCAGGTGGCAACAATAGCAACCGGCAGGAGGGTGTGAAAGTGAACACTTAAACTATCCTAAATTATCCAAGGGAGAATGACAGTCATCTCTTCTCCTTCCCATCCCGCTTCCCCTCCCCTCTCCACTGACCCCTCTAGCTACCTCTCCCTCCCTACCCCAGTGAAACCCACATCTAGGAAATTCCTGCCCAGAGACTATTGGGACTAGAGTCCATTCTTTCTTTGAGTCCTTGGTGCAGCCTCAGGTTTGCCACAGGACACTCACTTTTATGTGCAGACAGGTTGCAAATAAAGCTTGGACTAATGCTTCATATTCTTCTTGGACTTCTTTTCTAATCTTCTCTTTGAGATTCAGGTTCTCCTCTTTTAAGTCTGTGAGCTGAGCTCTCAGCCCAGTGAGTTCCATGATCAGATCATGACTGAGCTCTGCAACCTAGGATTACAGATAGAGAAGTTAGGTAGAAAGAGTACCGGTGGTCAGACTGGCTGGGCCCCCAGTGCAGAAGAGGAGAACACAGCAAAACTGTGGCTACAGGTGCACTGAAGAAGATTAAGGTCACAGTGGTCAGATTTACATACTTCCCCAAGGGGTAAACGAACTGGAAGTGTAGATGATTGGCACTACCCTTTTGACATCTCCCATATAGACAAACCACTGTCTCCTTAGGGGGTGAGCCATCTTTCCCACCCACTACGAATGAGACTAAAACCAAGAAAACTAAAGTGAAAAACAAGACTAAGACTATAAATTATCAATCAAGGTTAATGATGTCATCCATATGCCTTTGCTACTACTGAATCGATATTAGCTAAGTGGCTACACTTGCAATCTTATTGGTTGATTATAATTTGACCCATGATGTATCCACACCTCATGACTTAGCTCTACAAAACCTCAATGAAGCGCACTTGTTGGCAATCCACTGGGGACTCCTACCACAGGAGTAAATGTCCTACATTTAGCCTCTGTTGTTCCTTATAATTCATTCTTCAACTTCAGGGAAACAAACTTGGCACATTTGGCATCTAGAAGGTTAGGAATTACATATTTTTCCTCTATATCATTAGCAGCAGAAGTACACACACACACACACACACACACACACACACACACACAGCCAAAATGCTCCTGAAGAAAATAATTCCTTATAGATTGGTACAGAAAATTGCGCTTCTTGCTGGGCATGGTGATGCACACTTGTAATACCAGCACTTGGGAGGCTGAGGTGGGAGAGTCACTGAGTTTGACGCTAGCCTTGGCTACAAAGTAAGTTCAAGGCCAGCATAACCTGTATCGTGAGACTCTGGCTGGGGGGGTGGGGGGAAGAAATTGCACTTCTCTTTGAATCTAATGAAGAAGAAAGATATCTTGTGCAAATGTGGACAGAAGAATCTCAGGTTGCTTTGAAGGTCTCACTGCAGTACCAGACCCAGGAGCGCATGCTCAATAGATGATGATGGAGTAGACGACCCTCGAGGAATTGCTATATATGCACTTTTCAGTTGAAGGAAACCCTTCACTTGTCTTGACCTTTATCTCCAAACAGGCTTCCTCTGACACCTTCACCCACATACCTCTTTATTTTTGGAATGAACTTTCACTGGCCTCCAAAGGAAGTAAACAATATTCCTCAGCAACAGCAACACATCCCACCCCAATTTTGAAAACAACTTCCACCCCTCAAAATAAACTATTAAAGGAAGAAAGCCTCCCGAAGGCGTGCTCACCAACAGTGACAACACACTCCTTGGGTGTTTCTGTACAAGCCTCTTGGACATGGACTCTATAGGTCACTCAAGCAAATGACACCTGGTAGCCCCATCCCGGCCAGCTCTGAGACGTGGGGAGGCAAAAGAGGACTTTGGCAGGAACCGACCTACCTCACCAGCATGATCTTCAGGTGGATCTTGACTTTTCTGTAGCATTTCTAGCTCCTGAGAAGGGAAAACCAATGCACAGCCAAATTGAAAAAACTCTGTCAGCCCATTGAGTATGACCCTTCTGAAGCTCAGCTGACACCACATCCCCCAGGTTTCAGGAGAGCCGCATTTGGAAGCCATCTCATTAGTGAGACTGGCCCATGAAATGCATTCTGAAGAGACAATCTCCTCAAAGATGCTAACTTTATATTTACACCAGGAACAGCACAAGATGCTTTGGGTTTCATGGGCGAAGAAAGGTCCTTGAGGCACCTTCCCCAAGGGATAGACCACTGTGGATCATCTCCTGTACTCCCTGCTCGATGCCTCCAAAGCACACAACCCATTGTTGCTGGGGCCACCATGATTGCAACTAAAGATACTGGAGACAAAGAAAATGAGCTATCAAGGAGTAAAAATCTGAGATAACCAACCCCTCAATTCAGGCCCAAGAACCACCCCTCATGGTCCCTACTCCCCATCCCACAGTTTTACTTTCTCTTCTGATTGATCTAGGGTTCCACCTTCCCCCACTGTGGGCTCCCTGGGTGTCTACCGACTCCATCCCTGGGTGCCCACCACTCCCTCCCTGGGTTCCTCTTGCTCCCTCCCTGATGCCTGCCACTCCTTCCCTCCCTGGTGCCTACCCGCTCCCTCTGGCACAGCCTTTGCCTTGTGTGCTGCAGCAGATGTTCGTAGCACATGGAGTAGTTCTCAAAGTTGCTTCGCTCTCGAGCCATCACATCACAGCCCAGAGAGAGCAGGCAGGCCTCCAGGTGGTCTTTCCTGAAAGTGATCTGCAAGGCAGGGCACATTTGCAGCAGCTCCAGCACGGGTCCAGCAGCCTCTCCACACCAGGGCTTAGGGCACAGGTGCCAAGGGGCACAGACACTTTTCTTTCCCCTATGCACCAAAATGTTGGCTCTGGACCCATGAGCCTGTGCTCTAAGCACTCGCAGGACCAGGTTCAAGAGTTCAAGAGGAGGCTGGCTTGTGCTTTGTCTAAATATTTAAAAGTTCTAAGTCAGATCACAAACTATTAAAATGCAGCATTGAATTCTCTGACCTTGAAAGATAGACCTTCGAAGTGATCTGGACGGCCAGGTTTGAATTTGTTTCACTGACTACTCTGAGTTCTATTCACAAGCATGGCCTCCTGGGAGAACTGTCCCCAACCCAGAGTTTACAGTGTGATCCCTTTCTGTTCCCACCTCTGGCCTGGTATTGTATTGTGAAGGTCTTTATATGTATAAAAATACAAGCTATCTACCAATCAAAAGATGTATGTGTGCCCACACACGTGTGTATATGCATGTATGTGTGTGTGTTTATATTACTAGAGACTGAGCCCACAGCCTGTGCACTAAGCTGTTTCTTCAGCCATTTTTTTTTTTTTTTCTTTTCTTTTTTCTTTTGAACTAGGTTCTTGCTGAGTTCCCCAGGCTGGGCTCAGATGTGCAATTCTCTTGCCTTCAGACAAGTGTGCACTACTATGCCGGGCTTACTTTGTAAAAGGCACTGACTGTGTCAGCTTGAAAGGATGCATCAGAAAGGCAGTGGATCAAATGGAAAGCTTTGCTCCCATTGGATTGAATGAGCAGGGCCAGGCAGCTGGGGGCAGGGCTCCAACTCGCCCTGGCTCACTCTCACAAGTCCCTGCTCAGCGGCTGTTAGTCCCTCAGCACCCTGCTGGTCCCCACTCAGCCCCTGGAAGGTGAGCAGCAGGACAGCTGTCACTAGTTGTCCACATGAAGCAACAGGACACTGGGCGTGGTTGCGCATACCTGTAATTCCAGCACTCAGGAGAAGACTGAGGCTGGAGTATCCCAATTTTGAGCTCAACCTAGCAAGATTCTAAGATAAACACAAACACAAAAGGAGAACAAACACAAGCAAAGTGAACTGCAGGTTCTCTCACTTGCACCCTGACTTCTGTGTGGTAGAAGAGCTTAGTATGAGAAAGGAAGTGACTGGCCAGACTTTGGTGAATGGGCACCTGGGAAGGGAGCACTAGCCCTGCCCACTTGCCTGGGGCCTCTGAACACTGCTGTACTTTCCTGGGTCACCCTGCCTTCCTTCCTCTGCCTTTCCTTGCTTTTTCTTTTTTTACATTTCAAAATGTTTTCTTTTTATTTAGACATAAAACACATTTACAGCATGCAGGTTAACTTAAAATTATATGACATCTTCCCAAGCCATTTACCTTTAGGGTATTTTCAAGCACTGAAAATAATCTAGTATATTCCAGAGGTAGATTTATAGTTTTGGTTTTTTTTTCTTCTTCTGTATTTAGGGAAAGGTCTACAGGGTGTTCAAGTTCTCACTACTAGATCAGACTCACAGTGATTCTCCTGTTTATGGCCTCCTAAGTGCTGGGATTACAGGCACACATCACCAGGCCCAGTCTTAATTACCATCTCAGCGTGCCCTGGGGATTGAACCCCGGCCCTTGCATCTACTGCAGGGGCTTTAATCTGCTGAGTTATTTGGCCCGTCCTCAGAGGTAAACTTAGATTCTACAGTTAACTCATGTCAAAATTGAGTTATAGGGGGCCAGGGAGATGGCTCAGTGGAATAAGCACTCCTCTGGCAAGCACATGGGCCTGAGTTCAATCCCAGGTTCCACAAAAAAAAAAAAAAAAAAATCAAAAGCTATGCACAGTGGTTTTCTTAAGCAAATAATTAATTTATCACAATGAATAAATATTAGGTTTATTTCACTGAATTTCTCTTCTAAACTGTCAATATTATTCAGAAAAAACATTAACATATCCAGTCCAATAAAAGAAGACACTGCAAATTGAAGTGTCAGTTCTCCATATGATCAGAAATTTCCATTTATAGAACAATAAGGGCTGGCCAGATAGCTCAGTGGACTAAAGTGTATGCTTAGGTAGAATTCAGTGGCCAGGTTCAATCCCCAATGTGGCATGGCATGCCAGCCCTGCCCCCAGGGCATGCTGAGACAGGTGATTGAGACTGGATGTGGTGGCACACCTCTGTAATCCCAGCACTTGGGAGGCTGAAAACAGGAGTGTCACTAGGAGTGTGATCTACATAGTGAGACCCTGTAGATCCTGTCCTAAATACATAAGAAAGAACAATAAATGCTGTATTCAATGACCCACTATAGCAAAAAGACCAATTCACTGGAAACAAATTTATGAAATTCTTGGTGTACTTTATGAAAGTTTGAAATTATGAACAGAAAAAAACTAAGATTTTTTTAAAAATATGTATTCCAAACCACATGCTAGTTAAAATCCATTGCTTGTTACATTGCACCAGCACCCATGATACGTCTTACAACTCCAGAATGAGGTAAGAGGCACAAAAATCATTTCCTTTATATTGCCTAAGAAACAAGTTTTCATTTGGAAAAACCATTAGAAATGTCTAAGTGGGGGGCTGAGGAGATGGTTCAGTAGAATAAGCGTTTGCTTGGCAAGTGCAAAGGGCCTGAGTTCAATCCCCAATTCTGCCAAAAAATAAAAAAAAATAAATGTCTATGTCAATCCTTCGTTTCCTGAACATGATGACTGGGTGTTCATGCCTTATGCATGGGATGTGCCTCCCTCAAACTTTGTTATGACGTGGGCACATTACCAGTCTGACGTGAAAAAAAAAAAATGTCTATGTGGTTGTGGCCACAGGTCTCGCCTTTAGCAAACTGTCATCATAAAGACCCTGTAGCATTTTCTTTCTTTTTTTTTTTTCTTTATTATTTATTTATTTATTTATTTTTCGGAACTGGGGATTGAATTCAGGCCCTTGCCCTTGTCAGGAAAGTGCTTATTCCACTTAGCCATCTCTCTGGCCCTTTCTGTTCTTTTTTTTTTTTTTAAATAATTTTATTGAGAAACAAATAACAATGAGACAGTTTCAAAACTGATTAGTAGGACAGTTTCAATAATTAATACATTGCATATTGTTGTCTTAGTGGTTATTCATTGTACAAGACGCAGACATGATATCCTGTCCACAAACACTATTAAAACAAATCTTTCTATTCATTGAATTGAGAATGTAGCTGTATATCTATCCTATTTTGAATATACAGATACAAAATGGTTGTTCATTTGTATCCCCCTTTTTTGTTTAGTTTTGTCAGAGAAGCATATTCCATTGTCATTTAAATCTTATAGATAAGGTGAATTCAGCAAAACGGAAATTCCAATATAGTCCAGAAAAATATGGAATGCTTCGTGAATTTGTGTGTCATCTTTGCGCAGGGGCCATGCTAATCTTTGTATCATTCCAATTTTAGCATATGTGCTGCCAAAGCGAGCACCCTGTAGCATTTTTTTTTTGTTAACTGCATTACTTCTATCTTGTTGCACTACACTTTCATTTCAACTTCTAGAGCCTTCTTTTCTTTTTTTTAGCTCCCTGCCCAGTTCCTCTATTAGCTAACAGACCCTCCTCTGTCTTTCTCTTTCTGGCCAGCTCCTAAGAGTACCTCTAGATGTGGCCCAAGCACCACCACTCCCAGGAACCCTTCTCTGAGCTCAGGCAGTACCCTGGGTGTCCCCCTCCGGATTTGCTGTATACCTGTCCACAGCTCTTTGAGAGCAGGTGCTATACCTTTTGCTTGTATGTCCAACAAAGTGTCCAGAGAAAAGGAGGACATTGATAAATGCTTGTTGAATGAGCGAGTAACACTTGGCATACAAATGAAAAGGTTCTGGAAAATTCAGCTTCTTCAAGTCAGGGTATTTGGTATAAAAAAATTTGGACAAGACATTAGAACTGATTAGGAAGGACTGGTTTTCTGAAACTGAGATAAAGCAAAACCCATGAGAAGCCAACACGGGCTCAAGAAAAATTGGTGCTGCTTCAGTCGGACATCTGAGCAGGCAAACAGGGAGAACACAGGCTAGGTGACAGGATGGCCAGATGGCTCCTGGTCACTGAGAGACTATGCAGTGTGGGGGCCCCTCGAGGGGCTGTGCAGGGGCTCCAGCCTGCCCCATGATCCCCCATGTTAATGATGACAATGTGGAGGGAGGCCAACGTGTAGCAGAGAGAACAGGCATGCTAGACCATGCAAGTCCACACGTTTAAAGACCTCCAGAGGTCCAAAGAGTGGAACAAATGGAACAAAATCAAAGCAATTAGCACAGAGTAGCAGAGTGCAAGTGTGGGCTTTCAGTGAAGCTTGGGGCTTTAGCTGTGAAGTGGCTGCTCAGACCCAACACAGTCATTGGCACGAATCCAAACAAGCACTCAGGACACGGTCCCTGTATGTGGTCTAGACAACCTTCAATCTACAGAAGAGTGACCAGGATGGCACAGGTGCACCTAGAGAACAATAGCAGGAAATGGCGACATCCTGTCTAAAGCCGGGCAGGGCCTGCAGGTATGCTGGTGTGTAGCCTTGCTCTGCCGGGGCTTGCTGGTGAGTGAGGCACCTGCCTGCCCTGCTGCCTAGTCCCTGAGTCCTGGCATGAAGCCCACCCTCTGGAGGGAAGGTAATGGCTCATAATCCACTTTGAGCAGGCATCTGCTTTGCTGTCCTTACAGAGGGCACCGTGTTGCTTCCAGGCTAGCCACAGCTCTCGGGAATCTTCTGAGGAGCTGCCCTAGACATCCAAATGCTCGTTATTGGAGGCCTATCCCCTGATCTGTGGTGGCATAGGGATAGAGGATCCTTGGCAGACATGTAGAGGGGAGGTTGAACCCCCACTTAGTAGGTGCTGGCTAAAGGTACCTGGGGCAAGGACAGCTTGAGAGTGAGTTCCCTGTCACTGCAGGTGACCCCAAAGAGGCTGGAAGCCTGCCAGGCATAGTAGTGAGGTGCAGAACTCCAGCCCTGGTGGCCTTGCACAAACCTCCTCCAGTGTTGGCTGAACTTCCTCTGTAGCTGACATGGATGTGCCCTCCCGCTCATGGCCACGTTTTCTTTCCACAAGAGCTCATCTCAAGAGTGGGTTGAGCGAAGTGGTTTGTTTTTATTATTTTTAATATACAATCTCAATATAGATCTCACACAAGTTCTGCCACCTTACCCATCTTTAAGCGTACAGGTCTGAGTATATTCACGATGTGCACACATCACCACTGTCCTTTCACCTCACATTCTCTATCCAGCTTACCACACAGAGTCTCTGTTTCTCCTCAACAGTACCTCCCTACCCTTGTCCTCTCCCAGCCGGCCCCTGGTGCCCACCACTCTATGACCTTGACTACTCTAGGGGACTCTTTTCTTGGTGCTGGTGGGGATTGAACATAGGCCTTTGTGCATTCAAGGCAAGCACTCTACCACCGAGCCCCAGCCCCAGTGCCTATAGTGGACTCTTAAGAGTGTTTGTTCTTTCTGTCTGGCCAGCCATCCTCAAGGTTCATCTACGTTGTGGCACTTGTTGGATTTTTATGGAGGACCATCTTCTCTCACGCTCTCCTTGAAAGAAGAGTGACTGCCTCCCTTTTGACTGAGTCTTCCTGTTTAAGGTGAGCCATAATATGTATTTAAAAGTCTTCAAAATTTATTTATTTATTTATTTTGAAGTAAGGTCTCACTAAGTAGCCCAGACTAGCCTCAAAGTGTTGGCAATCCTCATGTCTCAGCCTCCCATGAGCTAGGATTACAGGTGTGCACCACCACACCTGGCTATAAGTACTCTTTGGTGTCAACATTTTTTCAGCACGCCCTGCCCTGCTTGCCTCTGCACGCTGTGGATGGAACCACCTCACCACCCTACGAAGATACTCAGTACCATGTTTGTGTAAGACTGAAAGCTAAATGAATACACTGAAATCATCAAGTTCTGAGGGAAAATGTATCCCCAGTCAAGATGCTGAACTTTTCTCAACCAGACTAACTTTATATGCTGATACCTGTGAACCAAGCAACTGCACTGAAGATAGCAATGTGTAATAGAAGGGTTATACTTGGAATGCCTGTCATTCTGGTCTTCTAAATACGTACTTCTTGTCATAACATACCAATTATTACCATACTGTCTCACAAGTAAAAGGGTTTTTTTTGTTTTGTTTTGTTTTGTGTTTTTCTTTTTTTAAATGGGTAATAAATGAAAAAAAAAAAGACACAAGAAAAAGAAAAAAAATGTCACAGAACTGTCCTGCTACAACGCTGTATATGGTTAGATTTCTAAATTTCTATGTAAAAATATGTGTTTATTCTTATTTTTTTATTTTTTTTCTTCATATTCTGTAAGAACTTAAATTTCAACACATCAATACTTTTTTTTTTTTTTTTTTTTTTGCGGAACCAGGGATTGAACTCAGGCCCTTGCACTTGCCAAGGAAGTGCTTATTCTACTAAGCCATCTCCCTGGCCCCTCCATCAAGTATTGATGTGTTGGGCCAGGGAGATGGCTCAGTGGAATAAGCACTTCCCTGGCAAGTGCAAGGGCCTGAGTTCAATCCCTGGTTCTGAAAAAACAAACAAACAAACAAACAAAAAACTTGATGGAAGATACCTGTTCCACATTATGCCTAAGATGTTCGATATTTAGACAGATAGTTAGGGTAAACTGAACTGCATATATTGCAGGGTAATCATAAGCTTCTCTTCTGGAGGGTTAATAACCTAAGTTTGCAGATCAAAAATTGGAGACAAGGAAAGACTGCAAGCTCTGCCAACATTTTGGCCCTAGCCTTTCAAGGTCAGTGAAGACTGAGGACATAGGTGAACCTGTACTGTAGCATCATGTAACTCAGTTGTGCCCCAAATTTTCTGATCAAGGAAATTATGGAGCCACAGAGGAATGTGATCGATGATGTAGACTGTGCCTAAGGAGAGTCACATGGAGAGAAAACTTTCTCTCAGGCTTTCACAGAAAGCAAATTGGTCAAGCAATGGCCATGACTCATCCACATGGGTGACACTGAAAAAGGATCTACAAAGTGCAGTACAAGGTTACAGGATAAATCCTGAGGGGACTTGACTGACCTTATCAGATACAAAAGTTACATTTCTTGTTATATAGGTCTTGCTTTATCTTGGTCTTAACCATCCAGCAGAAAAGTATAAAAACGAGGCATATAAAGTAAAGCCATATTAATATGCTGAGCTGTAAAATGCTCTAGTCAACAACTTCTGCAGATAACCCACTACTATTGTGGACTACTGGACTGTGTTGGATTGTTTTGCTGAATTCAAGCACCTATAATATTTAGATGCCAATAGAATACCCATCTCTGACAGGACTGAACTGGAGAGGGGGGATACAGAGGAAGGACCACTTTGTATTTCTTTTTTTTTTTTTTTTCCATTTTGTATTTGTATAAACAGAATAGTTAGGATAGATGTATGGCTGCTTTCGCTTGGTTCAGTGAGAGGAAGGATTCGCAGTAGTAGTGTTTGGACGGGATGTTCTGGCTGCTTCTTGTGCTGTGGATGACTGCTGAGAAGACAACAATGTGCAATGTATTAATTATTAAAAATGTCCTATTAAACAGCTTGGAAAATGTCTCATTGATATTTGTTTTTCAATTAAAAAAAAAAAGATAGTGAACTTTCTGCTTCATTTTTAAGAAGAAAAGCCAGGTGTGGCAAACACTTGTAATTCCCAGCACTTGGAAGGCAGAGACAGGAAAATTACCACAATTTTGAGACAATCCTGGCCTATGGAGTGAGTTCAAGCTAAGCCTGAACTATACAGTAAGACCTTGTCTTTTAAAAAAATTAAAACTAAAACAGTTTACTAAAATACAATGAAGAACACTTCCAAATTAGAAAAATGTAAGTTTTATGTGTGTGTCAACATTTTGAGACAGGATCTTGCTATGCATGTAGTCCAGGATGGCCTTGAGCTCACTTTGCAGCCTATGCTGGCCTCAAATTCTCAATGATCCTCCTGCCTCATCCTTCTGAGTGCTGGGATTACAGGCAAAAATTTATTAATGGTTCTAAAATCTTATAATGTCCAGATATCCACACTGACCCTCTTATCCTACCTTCTTAATGGATTCCTTTGATTTAGGGCAATACTTCTAAGAATTGTTTATATGCATATGTGTATCAAATAATAATATTATTAAATATAATAAAATATATTGGGGCCCTGCCCATTAGCTCAGTTGCTTAAGTGCCTGCTTAAACAAAGCAGTGAGCCTCAGGATGCTATGGTTCGATCCCCAGCTGCTAAAGGCAACCTGAGGACAGAAAAAAAAAAAAAAAAGAAAGAAAGAAAGAAAAAAAAAAGAAAGAAAGAAAGGAAAAGAAAATGTAGAGTTGCTATGGATTTAAATATCTTCTTAGAGGGATATTTATTATTGATTTAGACTTCTTTAGGAGAGTAGAGAGGATGGTAAAGGAAGGGTAAAAACATCTTTTCTGTGTTGCTGGGCTTTTTACAGTGACATGTTTTGAATATGTTTTCTCATTAGCAATATTAGTTTTTTATTTTTTTAAATCTTAAACACTAACAAATCAACACCAAGATGCTCCTGAAAATTAACTCAGCCACAAACTCCAAGTTTACTTAAAAAAACCTGACCAACCTTGGAATTTACCAACATGCATTTTTTAAAAAATGTGGGTTTTTTTGTTTACTTGTTTGGTACAGGGTCTTTCTATGCAGCTCAGACTCATATAGTGATCCTCCTGTCTCAGCTTCCCCAGTGCTGGGATCACAGGCCTGCACCACCATGCCCAGTATCAATGGCCGGCACAGCTCACCTGAGTTTCCGGGGCCACCACGGCATTCAGTAATAGTGGTAGAACCCAGGTCCTTGTGCTTGCTAGGCAGGCGCTTATACCACCAAGCTATCTGCCTAGCCCCCAACATGCATTCTGTTACTAGGATCTTTATATACAGCCATCTTTTCCCAGTGTTAAAATGATAATAATTAGTATTTCAGATTCATCCCTAGTATTAGGAAACAAAGCATTAGATGTGTTAAATGACAAAATCTCCCTTGTTTGGGTTTATGTTAGAAAATGAATGACTAATTTTCAATACACACCTCTGACCCACTATCCTGCTGGTTCTGCATCAATTTCTGGATAAATTTTTCAACAATTTGTGGCCTAATAACAGAAAAGTTTTCTTTCATGACTTGGTGTTTCCAAAGATCTAGGGAGGAAAACATACCAACAGTTATATCATAAAACACAGCATCATTCATGGCAATAAAATTGCAACTCTCCAAGGTCATATTGGACACAACAAACTATATTTTCAAATACAACAAGTGAGGCAGCTAGGGCAGGGGTAGTCATGGACCTCAACCCCCTCTGGAATATGGAACAACAAAGATCTCTAACAAAAGCCTTTTAGGAAAGCTTTGGAAAATCACCTTGCAAGTCCAGTGAACAATATTCTGTTACCACAACTAAAAACCTCAAAGGAAATGTTATTTTTGACCAAATAGGATGTAGACTGTCATTAATAGCCTGTGTATTTCTGAACAATTATCTTGGTCTAGCACATCTACTGCAAATAAACAGAGCAGGGCTGGCAAGATAGCTTAGCAGACTAAGCACCTGCTTAGGCAAGTGAGGGACCAGGGTTTAATCCCCAGCACCATATACCACACCACAGGGTGCGCTGAGCAGCCACAGAGACCAGGCAGAGTGGCGCACACCTGTAATCCCAGCACTGAGGAGGCTACAAACAGGAGGACCACTATGAGTTGGAGCTGCAGAGTGAAACCCTGTACCAAATACATTAAAAAAAAAAAAAAAAAGCAATATGACTAATGGATAAGAAAGAGGCACCCATAAAGTTATTCCGAACAACATTGCTTATGACAGCTGAAGCTTGGAAACACAAATGTCCATTATTTAGGACCTAGTTACTTAAACTGCAGCACATCTTTTCAGTGGAATGGTACAGATCTGTACAAGAAAGTACAATCACAAAGGGACCACTTCCTATTTCGTCTACTCGCTCCCTTCTTCTTTTTTTTTTCACACTTCATCCTCAACCGAGCATCCAGAGTAGTCTATTAAAAGACAAACCACATCACTCTAACTTGGATACAGGCTCCCCATCGCATTCAGAATAGGTACTAGCATCCTCACAAGACCGTGTGGCCCACCCTAGCCCTCTTTCAGACGTCATCTCTTGTTAGTCTCCCCATCCCCACCCCCAATTCCTGCCGCACGTGTGTGTTGCTCTTCTTACCTCTGACAGGTATGCCCTGCTGGGGCTTTTGTAGGGGTCATCCCTTTTGTCCAGAGTGCTGTTGCCCCGCATACTCTGTTATGGTTTAGCCCTGGAATGTCCCTCCAAAAGCTCAAATGTAGCCAGCTATGGTGGCATGAGCCTAAATTCCAGCTGCTGGGATGCTGAGGCAGGAGGATCATAGCAAATTTGAGGTCAGCCAGCAGGACAGTGAGTTCAAGGCTAGCTTGAACTACATAGCAAGACTGTCTCAAAAAAAAAAAAAAAAAAAAAAGCACAAAGCAGGAAAGCCAAAACACACACACATAAAAACCCAAGAGTTCATGTATCTTTAAATTCACATTTAAGACATTTAAGACTTTAGTAAGTTTAGTTTTGAGAAGACAGCACTCAGCTGCATTTCAGGACACTTTTCAGAAGTTAGATAGATGGCTTTCCCAGAGTGCTATGATGACAGGTCCCTGGTACACTGAGAAGCCTGGTAAGGGACTCATCTGCCACCTCAGTCTAGGGACTGTCACCTAGACAATGCCTCCTGAGCCAGTCTGGAGCTTAGTTCTGGGTCCACTTGAAAGAGAAGCACTGTGTTCTACCAGGTGCTGGCAGGTTTCCCAGTACTGTCTTGGGTAATGAGTTCAAGTTCAGATGAGTTTCTACAACCTGGACAAGGAGTCCTGGAAGCCAGGGAGAGTGGAATCCCTCCAAGAGAAGTAATTCTTGGCAAAGAGGAGTTAAGTTATGTTCTGAGCTATCTCCAAGTCTGTCTCATTCTACCTATGTGCATATGGTTGTGGCCTTTTAAAGAGGAAGCAGCCAGTTTTGAAAGAAGCATAGAGGGGCTGGTGAGATGGCTCAGTGGTCTAAAGCACCTACTTAGAACAAGCTTAGCAAAGCACAGGGACCACGGTTCAATCCCCCAGCACCACATGCCAGCCAGCCCCACCCCCTGGTGGGCTGAGCTGGCCACACACACACACACACACACACACACAAAAAAATAAAAAAAAAAAAAAAAAGAAAGAAGCATAGAGGTTGGAGGGCATATTAGGGGTTAAGTTAGGATTTTTGGTCCTAGGTTCTTTGACTAAAGGAAACTGACTTCCTGCAGGTCAGACTACTTCTACCTTCCTCTCAATAGCACTGGGCCCTGCTTCCTGCTTGGAGGAAGAGCACCTTACTGGGTGATACTTTACTTTCCTAACCAATCACTTGTCTACAGTGGGCTGGTTCCTGGTTCTGAGCCCAAGGCAGAACCAGGACCCAAAGGCCCACTTCTGCCAGTGAAGGCTATTCTCCCTGATAAGCTGATAGGCCGGAGAGCCCATTGTGTTAAATATTCATGTGTATCTTTATTTATTTATTTATTTTTTTAAAATCTTATTTATTTATTTTTTATTTTTATTTATTTATTTATTTTTTTGACGGAACCGGGGATTGAACTCAGACACTTGCGCTTGCCAGGCAAGCGCTTATTCTACTAAGCCATCTCCCTGGACCCCCCATGTGTGTCTTATACTCTCATGTTTTAAAATTTCTCCTCAACACACTATTTCCTTGAGTTACTTAGTGTTTTCAAGAGGAGAAAAGAGTTTATGATCAAATAAATTTAAATACATATTTTTTTTCTTTCTTTTCTGTATTTGCTGGGCATGGGGGGATTGTTGTAGGTAGCTGAATTACATGGAAATATTATGGGCAGACAGACAGGGCCAGGCCCTCAAGGAGACAAGATGGAAGACAAGGTGGCTTTGCAACTTGGAGGAGACAGACACTCCCATATGGGCCAGACCTCAAGACAAAAGAGGAAACAAATACAGCTACATACTTCCCTAAGGATGGACATCAGGGATTGATATTCTAAATAGCTATCAATCACCTTGAAAGGGCCCAAATGGGTCACTAACCCAACCCCAACAGGAAGAGACCCTGTCCCTACTCACGTCTGCTTGCTATGTGACTGGCTTCCCCATTTGGTACAGGATTTAATCAATTTTACCTGAGCAATGGTGCTTGTAATCTCATTGGTTGACCATAGTTTTGTGCCACCTCATGCCCACCTAAGCGAGTTCCCATGTCCTCTACCACCTTCAACCCGCCTCACCACATGGTTTTCCTCTATAAAAGTCCGTGGAAGAGATAGCTTCCTGGGAACAACCCACTCAGGGCCCCCTTTCTGTCCCTCTCAGACATAAGCTTTCTTTCCCCCAATAGATACTCTGCTCATAACCTCCATTTGTTCCTAAAATTCATTCTTCAGTTTTAGAGAACACGAACTCATCCCAAGTACTTTTTAGGTCAGGAGTTTCATTTTTCTATATCATTTAGAGGTCATCTACCCGAGATCAGTTTTTCTCCCTGTGTCAGCATGTGTCTATGATCCCAGCAGTTGGGAGGCTGAGGCAGGAGGAGTGCTATTAGTTGAAAGCCACCGTAGTGAATAAAGGGCCAGTCTAAACTACACAGTGAGACCCTGTCTCAAAACAAAACAAAACAAAGTTCGATTTATAAAGGGCAGTTTTAAGTTCACAGCAAAGTTGCAAGGAAAATACAAAGAGTTTCCCTCACTCCTGGTCCTCACACACACCAGCTTCTTCTACCATCAACATCCTGCACCAGATAGGTACATAGGCTGCGCTCAGTGAACCTGGGCTGACTCACCCCTGTTGCAAGTCTTTCTTTTTTCATTCTTTTCTTTCTTTCTCTTTCTTTCTTTCTTTCTTTCTTTCTTTCTTTCTTTCTTTCTTTCTTTCTTCTTTCTTTCTTTTTTTAAAAATGTAATTAGTACAGGACCTACAGGGTCTCACTACACAGATGAGACTCGTAGTGATCCTCCTGTTTTCAGCCTACCAAGTGCTGGGATAACAGGCACACCCACCACTATGCCCAGTCTCAGTCACTGTGTCAGCGTGCCCCAGGTCCCTGTGTCAGCCTGAGCAGGAGCTTTAATCCTCTGTGGAGGGCCCTCGCACATGTTTTTCAATGAACTGAATTACCATGGTTTATGTATTCCAACTTAGTCTTTACAGAAACAGTTGTTCCTTTTCTTTTTTGTATTCCTATTTTATTGGTTGACATAATTTTTGATAGGTTATGGCCCTATAAGAATTGCTAAATTATGGTGGTCTTCTGATATGGCTGAAGCCCTTAAAGTAACAGCTTATCTTCCCAATGACCACTTCCTCCACCTTCCCCACTCCAGCCCTGGGTACAACTTCCTGTGACCTTTCCCGCCCACACAAGGGAGCCTCCAATCAGCTCCTTATATGTCACTAAACCCGCCCCTCAAACTCCTCCCCTGGCAAACATCCATAAAGTCTCAGGCTCCCTGTCTCAGGTCAGAGGATCTGCCCATCTCCCTCCCCTCACTCCTCTCCGTGTGTTTACAGTCACTAAAGGCTTTCCCTCCCCTATTTCTGCTTCTCTGCTGCGCCACCACCACTGCCGCCATCACTGTTGCCTCTGAAACCTATCAATTTTTAGTTAGATTACTAAAACTCATTAACAAATTGGCCTATGCAGGTCAAGAGTAATCCCACACTCAACAACATTAGGTCAACCCAGAAGGATGGGATTGCTGAGTATTAGAGGGCTTGTGTTACCAAAAGCACAGGTTGTTGTAGGCAGCTAAATTAGATAGAAATATTATAGGCAGTCAGATAGGGCCAGGCCCTCAAGGAGACAGTATGGAAGACAAGGTGGCTTTGCAATTTGGGAAGATTCAGACACTCCACCTTTGGGTCACACCTCAAGACAAAAGATGAACAAATGTAGCCACATACTTCTCTAGGGATGGGCATCAGGGATTGATATTCTAAATAGGTATCAATCACCTTGAAAGAGCCAGAAAGTTACAACTCCCAACAGGAAGAGATCCTGTTTTTGCATTCATGCCTGCTTGCTACTTGACTTTTTTCCCATTTGATTACAATTTAATCAATTTTACCAGA